AATCATCCTCAGGAATTTAAGAATATTTTTGACCAATCGATGACAATTATATCTACGTCCAAGCACATGATATGATACAATTTGATGTTTTTGTCGTCAAACAAAAACTAAACACATTCTTATTGATACTGTTTGCTATTATCGTAATGTGTTGTGGTATTATCCTTAAATGATCAGCTGAGGTGCACAAGATGTCAAAATAAGATTGCCTTTAGGCTGAGCGATTTTGGTGACCGCTGTCATTCGCTGTGACCCCTCTCAACTATTACCATATTAACCTAATTCCATAAATATCTTGAACATCGCACCAGAGTGAATTTTTTTTCATCTTATCGCACTAAGAAGATAACTGCGCACAATCATTAGTTAAGTTAAGACGTGCAATCTACCTTCCACATTGTACCTGGGGCATTTATCCGGTCACTCACAACAACAGAAATATCTGGTGCGTTGTTTTGAACAACAATTTACTTCGACATTGCGCAATATCGATTAGAAAACCGTAGATTGTTCTCACGAAATGCACTAACACCCCTCGCGATTTCATGTAACATTGATTAGCCAGCAGCGAAAACGCTGGCCTGTAGTATTTGCCCAAATTGTATGACTCGCTCAGGAAGAAGGAAGAATCTGAACAATACAGACATCAATACAAAAAACAAAATAATATATGATTGTACGAGACAATAAGATTAGTCGATTCACTCTTTGGACGCGGAGCCATCTGACGAGCAAGTTGATCTACCAGTAAGTGGCTCCGCGAAAAATCTTTGGTGTCCGCAGCCGAGAAGAGACTGGCCATGATATAGCGAAGGATTGCCGATGAGGTTGAAGTGCCTTGTGGGATATTTAATCTCTCGTCCACGAAGGCTATGACTCGGTGACGGATTGGTTTACGGGAAGTATTAACTAGTTGTGAATGTACTAGTAGTACTTTTAACTTGGTCGCAACAAGTTGGTCGCGAGCACTCACTGACGTCGAAATTACAAAATTTTGGCCAATAACAACGCAGTCCTCATCAGCTGGAAAAGTTCAATGTAATAATATTTCCAGCAAAACTCAACGTCGAAATAATATTACCTCATACAAATATCAAGATATTACACTAGTACCACGGGGGGAGGATTTCCGTCGTTCCCTGTACCATTGTAAGATTGGCCAATATTCAGTTTGATATCGACAAAATGACGCCGAACACGACGGCGACAGTCCCGTCGAAGAAGCCTATCAAGGATACCTTCGAGGCGCAAACACCAGGCGTGCCAACACAACATTTCACAAACAGTCCCGATCCTGACTGAAAGAAGTGGCGTGAGCGGCTGACCTTGGTGAAGACGTTTGAGAAGTACCACTTCTACCAGCAGATCGATGCTTCATTTCGAGCTCGTATGCCACGCATCTTGACGAGGATAGACTTAGGACGTGTCTGAATATCTTAAATTGCATCATTGATTTTAGGGAAACATCTTTGAGTCTTCGACTTTGCGGAGCATTGAACTAGTGGCAATCCAGCATTAATTCCGTACAGCAAGCCTGGCGACATGCCTACGCCGTCCGCATAGACGTCGATTCCGTGTCGATCACGAGGATGCTGCGTCGGCGCTCCCTTGTTAACGTCTAGGCAGATATGTTACCCACGAATGCGAAAGTGTTGTCAAGACTCTCAATGTGACGATACCGCCAGTCTGGATTCCGAGTCACAGTATTCGAAATTGTCGTGTCATCTGGGAGATAGGATCATGGGATTGAGCGAAATCCCCTCCAAGACCATGAAATCATTTGGTGCCCTCCTTGTAACTGGGCACACAAAGAGGAAGGAGTAGGTAATCTAAAGAATGAAATGGCAGGATTATGCTATCTAGCTCTGCTGCATGAATATGGAAAGTTAAGGCGACTCGTGGGTAGAGTCGCTAGCAACCCAGGCGACATGTTGTGAGGTCGC